CAACTTAAGTTCTATCCCTAGCTCCTGCAAGTTGTCCTCTGCTGCCCACACACATGCCATGGTACTCCTATGTCCCTCACATATGCACATACACACCACACACAAAATGAATAAATAAATGTAATAAATTTTCAAAAAAATTTATTCACCAACATCTTGGTTCTTACTAATTTGGGGTAAGTGTAAATAAAGTGCTTCAACTTCTTCAGCAGCTTTAGGGGTATCCTTAAATTTTCTGATCAGATGAGTAAGGGCTTAGAAGCATTGTAGCTGGGTAATGTGGGAAGACTATGAGTAATCTTCCAAGAAACCACTAACTGTTCTGCAAAATGACAGAAGCAGTTCAGTTCACATCCTCAGCAGCAATCAGTGGGAGGTCCTTTTTCAATAGACACCCCAGCAACTAGGATCATCATTTGTAAAATGTTACCCATCCTAATCTAACAAGTTTACAAGGCAATATCACTATTGTCTTGATTCTTAATTTCTTATTGATAAACAATAGCATGCTCCTTTACATAGATGTGTTTACTATGTAGATGTCTTTGGTCTTCCAACACATTTTGTAAAAATAAGATAGTTTAGTGTTAAGATGTATTTTTATATTATGTCACTTTCCAATTCAAAACTGGATATTCTTCCTAAGGAAAAATAAATAAAAATTTATAGTTTTGTATTCTATAGACAATATATGCCATGAAGTACCAGTTTTGAGATTAATGGCAAAAATAAAATTATATTGAGTAATTATGAACACTTAATGAGTCTTTTTATTGACAATCTACATTTGACCTTAAATACTATTAGAAACTTCGTATATGCCCATCTAAGTAAGAAGACGGTGACTAATAGTATAAGTCGCCCCTCCATGTAAGAGAGGCCAGTAGGTGCCTTGGGCATAACATTGCTTTTGTGCGCTTGGGTAAGTCACCTGACCACACATGGCTCAGCTTCCTCCTAAGGTGAACAGAGGTAACTGCTGGTGCCTCTGTGAGCACTCACATGCCCTTCCTCACCTCTCCAGCTAACCAGTGTTAGCTGGTGTCAGCTAACCAGGAGCTTGTGGGCACAGGACTCCTTCTCTTGACTATATTTGCACTGACTATAACTATGCTGAATTCCCTTTATTTAGTTGTTAAACCCTTTCTAGATCACTCTTTAATCACATGTAATTACTATTGCTTTCATTATTATGAAAATTGGTTTCCATTTTAATTGGTTTTATTTTTCATATTAAGTCAAACTTGGAAAAATATGGTTTCTTTGAATTTAACAAAGGAAATTAAATACAAGACACTATGGCTTTATAGTTTTGTCTTAAAACATCATTTTGGAGCACTAACTACAGCCTAAGTTAAATTCTTTGCATCCTTTTTTCAAGGAAAGTATCATAACAAAAAAATGGTTTTGAGTAGTTTCTACTTCTGATCTACTGTCTTTTCTAAAAGACAAGTCTTAAGGGCAAAGTAACGGCCTACACAACAACAAACCATGAGAGAGCATCACTCAGGATATAGTCAATAAACGCCTTTCTTTGCTGCTCAATACATCCTGTTGCTTGAGAGAAATGAGTATGCCTACTTTATACACTGAGCAATTTTCTCTCTAGGGAGTATTTTACTCTTTCAAGTTCACCATAGGTCAGGCTAAAAAACGGTCCCAGCATAATTTATATTTCTCATCACAGACATCCTTAAACTGTTACAGGATGTATGACTAATTAAAAAAATACACACAGAGGGCAGAGTTTGTGACACACAGCAACCACCTGCATAGGTTTCCATTGTGTTTGAGACACACAGATTGCCCTGTGAGTCATTCACTGTTATGAAAAGTTCGAAATCACTGTATGGACAGTGAATGTATATGAGTGTGCTTTCAAAATGATGAGTAAGACAAATGATGGATGACAGAACAGGGTTATTCACAGCCCCATGAACAACATGTTCAAAAACAGAAAGGCAGAATTGTCACTAATGGGCAACTTATTAGCTTTCAGTTTTTCAGTCCATGGAAATTGAAGCTTGAGTCTTGATCCCAAGATTTTTAAGATCTTCATTGTCCCTTCACTGCATCTGCTACTCGTAAATATAAGGTTTACCTGATTCCAGCTGGAAAAGACACATGGGCATGACCAGGTCCATATTTGGAATTCAGCAAATGTTGATTATTGAATCATGAAACAGAAGAACAAAGGGCTGTGAGTAAGTGCTGCTGAGGTTTTTCTTTGAATAGAATGTAGAACTGATTGTAGATCATGCCCCAACCAATATCTAAGTCAGTTTTCTGTGAACAGGCATGCTTATAGAATCCTCCCACTTTGGGTGGGCCGAGGACTAAATTATTGCTGGAGTATTCAGAAGCTCCCAGGTATCATGACACCTGGAAAAGTTTTATGTTGGAATGTATGAAGACGACAAGTTTAGAACTGAGGAATACCTTTGCAAATACAAATGGCTCAGAATTGAGCATGATCTCAGTTATAAAAGGTCTCCAGCAATTCATATGTTCCACTATCTGGTATTACTCATTAAAAGAATCAATTCTCTTGAACAAGAAAAATAGCCCTGGGATCTTGGTGAACCTGTTTTTCCAAGTTTCTAGATTGTTCTGCAAACATATTGTTCAACTGCCCAAGTGCTATTAGTACATATTTTTTTCAGGAAAAGCAACAGCAAATGATAAGCTTACCACACTAGCAGACACACTGGAAAACTTTCTGTATGTATTAACTCATGTCACTTCCTTCTGTCAGTACCCTACTGCTATTCCCGAAGACATTCTCCATCTCTCATTCTCTACCTGCTCAGGGTTAGTGCAAAGCTGACCCATCAGAAGGAGGTTGGCTTTCCTTCTGAGTGTTAGTGACTGGGAATGATGCTGTGTATATGTCCTTGAAGTGTGGGCATCTCCCTCCCTGTGCTCTGCATGCTGACTGCAGAGGTGAACTTCTGAAATGCAACATCTCTAAAAGGACCGTGTTAGAAATGCTTTGTCTATTGCACATGAACATGGGTAATATGACCCTCCCCATCTGGGAAAGAAGAACAGTACAGAATCACCACAATAAATATCTACTATTGACATTTACCTGCAACTAATTCATACCAATTCCTTTCACAGGCATTTGTATATTTTATGCTACCAGTTCATTTACATGGGTCTATTTTTTACTTCTCATCTCACAGGTATATTTTTGCATAAATGAAATTTTGGCTTAAGAACATTTATCCATGTCTCCTGGTAAATAACATTAATAGTGTATTTCATTTAGAAATATTATAGGCTATCATCAGATGTTATAATTTATAATCTGTGCAGCCCCTTTGGCATCTAGTTTTGAAATAATCTATGTAGCCCCTTGGCATCCAGTTATGAAATAATCACCAGTTTTAAATGATTGAGCTATTGCTATGTTAAGTGCTTTAAATTAATTTTCTCCTGTAGTTCTATGATATAAGTACTACTTTTATTCTAGTTTGACATAGGTTAGAAGTCTGAATCCATGTTAAATAACCATTCAGAATTTGCACATAGGTTGGCTAGTTCTAGAATTGGGACTCTTTTTGTTAGAACTATTTCTTATATATGATGGGCCTAATAACAAAACAAAACTATTGAAACTGTAGACAAAGGGAGATCCTAACATTCTTGCTCCCTGGTCCTGTGGAGTAATGAACAGAGAACCTGGATTGAAACAGGTGAGATCATTGTTCAGCAGCAGTACAACTCTTGCAGGATTCCTAGGTGCGCATAAGTACATCTAAGCAATGATGCTGAAAATGTTTCTGTGAGCCAAAGGAATAGAGTCTGAGTTCATACAGACTTGCACCTGCAAGACATTTAAAAAACATTTAATTTGTATCTATTTTTATGTATGTGCATCTGTGTGCCTGTGTGAGTACCACATTCATACAGTAGGAACTAGAGGTCAGAAGACATGTTGGATCCCTGGTCCTGGAGTTATAGGTGATTGTTAATTGCCCCATGTGGGTTCTGGGAGCCTGAACCAGGCCCTCCACAAGAACAGCAAGTTCTCTTATTCTGAACCATCTCTCCATCTCACCCCTTTAAAAAATGTCCACAGGGTTAAAAGAGGCCATTTTCATTTGAGTGTATACTACGTCTGCACAATACCTGAAGCTATTTGGAGTGAGGAGGGGACTCTAGTGGAGTTGGACCTATAGATCTAGAAGTGACCACGGAAATATCAGTGATCTTTCTGCAGGAAGCTCCTGTTCTACCTAAAGGGCCTTTTGAAGGAGACATTGAAGTCATAGAACAGTTGCCTGAGTTGTGGGAATTAGAAAGTGTGGCACCCTCCCTAGCGCTATAGGGTAGTGATGGCCTCATGTCAGAGAATCTTGCTAGACATGCAGACATGGCAGGAGACACAGGAGACTTGCATCCCTGCATTCCCATGTCCAGGGTTCTAAGTCAACTACCCAGTTGTCTGGAATGTGCTCCATTCTATTGTTGACAAACTTCTCTCTATAATGTCCTGAAGCCAAATTCAAATTTAGAATTTTCTGCCACCACCTCTTGCCCACAAGCCACTTCCTTTTCTTCCCAGGCCGACTCTGTCCCATATAAGGAGGGACCTTCTTCACCAAGGGTGGCTGTACCAGACCACACACCCAAGCTCTTCATACACACTCTTCCAACAAACAGCCCCCTGAGCTGGGCTGTGTGCCCACTGGGGTTGCACCTGGGCGTGCTCTAGTTTCAGGATGAAGCCCAGAGAAGCCTGAAACCCTTCTGGACAGGAAGTCCCTGAGTTCTGGGCACTCGGTCAGTATAGAACAAGGAAAGTTGAATCCATACCTCAGGAACTCAAGCTTGGTTCAGAACAAGCTTATGTCCCAAAGCAGAAATGCCAGAAGAATGCAGGTTTCTGAAGTGCTACCTTCTAGGTACAGGCAACAGCACAATCAATAGTGATTGGGGAGAGGAGAGGAGGGAGAGAGAAAACGAATGACTCTGAAAGTTTCCTCTTACAGACTACAGACCCCAGAGAGCATGCATAAATGGGGCGGCATTGACAGAGGCCCATTTCCCACGAAAGAAACAGACAAACAACAGAAACAACAGGAAAAGGGTATATGCTTTGAAATCTGCACCCCACAGGAGATGCCCTACATTGTGTGTGACCCCCTTTATCCCACATTGTCACTCTGTCCACAGCCACATTGAAGTTGTGCAGCCGGGTACACATTCTGATTGCCAGGCTCTTTGCTGTCAAAAATATAATAAAATAACAAGTTCTGGAGAGATCATGGGGGTTTGTAGCAAATCCAGTAAGAGTTCTGCACATATTTTGCAGTCAGTCTTGTACCCCTCAGCTTCAACTACATTCATTTTGACAGATTTTCTTAAAATTTAAAAAGCATCAAAAACAGGCAAAACCTATGGAGCTCCTAGACTGAACTTGATGCCCGGATCTTCATAATAATCTTCAATCAACAATGAAACCTACAGCTAACCTCTCCTGAGCACTGATGAAGCCAGCTGCAGGAGCTCTTGTTCATCTGCATGGCCATTAGCTGTCCTAGGCCCATCAAAGGGGTCCCATCACTTCAGTTTTCGGGTACGGAAGCTGGCAGAAAGAGGAACACAAACTGCTTAAGGCCAGTAATGGACGAGCTGGGATTTGCACCCTAGTCTGAGTCACACTCTGTCCTTTCCCTGTGTTTGTGTTCCTCCTGTGCTTTATAACACAGCCACTTAGTGCAGTTACTATTTTCTGGGAGAAATAAATTGTTTTTACAGTTATTATCCTCTGATCTGGGCATGCAATCATTTGGAGAACTTTAGCATTGGAAGGAACATCTAGTAAATGTGAGTCCTTTAAAGTGGCAGACACTGATCTTTAGAGACATTAAAGTAACTTGCTAGATTCAAGTTGTACTGGATACATAAGCCCCTCGGTCTCTAGACTCATAATTTTGAATGCTTGTGCCCATAGGAATTTTTAGAGACTTATAAGGTCCCAGTTTACCAATCTTGAAACATTTAGGTTATGTTATAATATGTATCAGCAGTTTAATATTCCTGTTCCAACAATGAAATCTAACATCGTGTAAATGACAAGTGAAAACCTTTGATCACAATTACACATTCAGAAACTGAAAAATGTCTACATAAAAATTATCACTTTTCAAAACATAAATGAACGATATTTTCACAAGAAGAGTGTGGAAATGTGAAATATTTTAAATTAGCAATCACAGATTGTGAGGAAAACATTTGCTCCATTATTACAGTATTACCTATATAAATGCCCCATGAATCAATTACTGAAATGAATAATAATACCTTCTGTAATTTATAAAACAAGAGAAAAATGCAACAAGATGTGCTTCATTTTTAAGATACAATGCCCAGTTCCTATATATCAAATGGAATGCACTGGTCAGAACAACTGTTTCTCAGTAGCAGCCGCACATACACTTCAGCTAAGCTTGAGAACTAGGTTCAAAGTCAGTCTTGCTTTCCTGCTGTTTCTACTACATCATCATCGGGCAATCATCATGTCAGAGAAAATGAGCAAAGCTGGAGGATGTCTTTCTTGCCATTCCTTAGAGTGAATACCCCATAAAGAATTTAGTAAGAGACTAAAAGGATTAAGAAGAAAAACAGCTTGTTTAAAGGAAAAAAGCATATTCAAAGGACCACACATATTTTCAAAGTAGTGTGTGGTTTATTATTCAGTGTTACTTGAGCGTGATGTTAGAGTTCTTTATGCCACAGCCAGAAATCTCAAGAGTTAAAGCTGCCACATTCAGTTTCCTGTGGGCCTGGTCCCAGTAGGGAAGAATGAAACTAAGAAGCTTACTGCCTCCACCCATGCCTACATACTCTTCTGCCTGGCTGTCTTCCTCCCTCTACATACTTTATGTACTATGCATCCTAGCAGCCACACCTTCCAATATATACTCAGCTTGCTTTTCAGATCATTGCAAAATAGCACTTACTTTAAGACTAATTCCAAGCTTTGCCTGAGTCTATTAGGAAATCATCAAAACAATTTTTCGTTTTGAAAACTATTATAATTTGTCTCTCTGTGGATCAGTGTGCAGAACTGTGTGCTATTATCTCATTTCTTCTTTAGTTGTGTCCTCAAACTCCCTCCCTGTAAACAATTCTTCCCAGCTATCCCTTTCAGCAGCATTAAAAAAATTTCTGTTCTTTCCATCCTCAAAGAGACATGCACACATCCTCAGTGTTACTTTATTCTCCTTCAAATTTTATAAACATTGATGATGTCTAAGATTCCTTTTAGAAAATGTGTTAATATTTCAAATGTATAAATACCCTTCTTAACCAGATCCAACCTAAATCCTACTCTGCCTACACTACTCTTGCCAAGGTCACAAGTGGCCCTCATATTGCCAACACTGAAGGCCAAGCCTCATCTGGGCCTTATTTGATATCTTGACATCCAACATGGGGATCACTGCTAACGTTTTGGAGTTGCTTCCCTGTGACTACTATGTTGTCCTCATCTGGCTTCTCTATTTTTCTCTATATTCCTTCCTAATCTCTTTGTGCAGCTCTTCCTTCTCTGCCCCATGTGTCAGTGATGGAATTCCCCAGGAAACCGCTTGGAGAGATCCCCCTTTCACAACACTCTGGAGGCAATCTCAGCCACTCCTATGGTTTGGATACCGCTGATGTACAGATGGCTCCCAGCATCCCTCTGCAGCCCAAGCCCAGATTCTGAAAGCCCAGCACAATTACCCAGATAGTACTTCACCATCTCCATTTATACACAACACAGTCACTGAACCTCATTGTACCTATGTCTGAACTCAGTTCCCCAAAATGCTCTATTTTCCAGTGTTTTCTATTGAAAAAGAAATCATATATTTCTTATTGCTCCTGCTGAAAGCAGAAGTTACAGTTGGTTCCTTACACAGACAATAGCAAGCCATTTGTTCAACACTTGTTTAGTGGGCGTGTGAGTTACCTAGGGCTGCCATTACGAATTACTACAACCTCGACTGCTTAAAATAACAAAAACCAATTCTCTCATAGTTCCGGAGGCTAGATTTCTGAAATCAAGGTGTCAGCAAGGCCTTGCTCCCTTTGAAAACTGCAGGAAGGAATCCTTCTTTACTTTCCCCAGTCCCAGATGGTGGCCCCAGGTATTTCTTAGCTTAGCTTATGCATGAGCCTATATTCCCACAGCCTTCCTTGGTGTCTCTACATGAGACTCTTCTTGAAGAACAAGCCTTTGGATTTGGTTGGAACTCACCCACACTGAATCCATGATGATTTCATCTGGAAGTTTTTGACTAATGACACCTGCAAACACTTTGTTTCCAGGGAAAGTCATATTCTCAAGGTCTAAGTGGGAATGAATATCTGGGGTACTCTACTTAACAGGGTGGTAAAGGAAAGGAATGTATTTCAAAACTAAAAAGTATAGATTGGAGCATATTCTGACTAAAGCAGAAAATATTTCATGGAGGACCATGAAATCCTTTCCATGTGTCCACTGTATTTCTCCCTACGTTTAGAAAATTTAAAGTTAATAATTTATTGTTTGGTAAACATAAAGAAGTCTTTCTATTATAATAATGAGATAGTATATTCCTAGTAAATAGCATCACACCTACTTCACTTTAAGTTTTCTTAATAGTTGATCTTAAAGGTTAATTTTTAGCTTACTGCCCCGAAAAGTATGTTCAGAGACAGAGTGTTCATAGTAAATGTTGCTTTTCGGTTCTTACTCTGTACTTACAGATGTGGCCTTTGTTTATATTTTCCTAAGGCAGCTTCCAGGTGAATGGAGGAAGACAGATCAGAATCTTGACATGGTCTTCTGCTCCTGCAGGATGTTCTGTCCAGAGTCATTCTTGACTTCTCAGTCTCATTAACCTCATATGTGCCGTCAAATCCACTGACTCTAGCCTCAATTTACCTCTCACATCCTTCCCCCTCTCCACCGTCACTGCCACCATCTTCCTCTAGGACACAGGCTTTGCCCATCTGAACATTCCCAGTAGCTTCCTGGACTCCGTAGGCCAGGCTTTCAGGAAGCACCAGTGTGGAGTTTTCCTACACCTGAGTGTGAACATTTCATTCACCTATTTCACAACTGTCCCATTCTCTTAGAGACTGAACTCTTTCAAAAGGCCTTCATGGTGTACTGCTTTCTCTACCCAGTGAACCATCTTGCCTCGTCTCTCACTATGTTCCACTGAGCACTGCTTTCCTTCAGCATGCCAGGCTGTCTAGTCTACCAAGAGTCCTTACACCTGCTGTTCTCTTTGCTTGACATATTAGTAAAGACCTTTAAAACATCTGGTTTGGAGTCATGCAGCTCTGTGTTCAGTATTCTACACTGTCACTTATGAACTGTGGAGTCTTTTAGTGACCACTGAATTTCTCTGAGTCTCACATCCTAAATGAGAGTTTTATTCAAGCCTCCTATAAAGATGATATAATGAAATTAATATAATTCCCTCAAGTTGCATAGTATTATAAATTTTCTAGTTAGAGTAACTATAATTATTCTAATGGTACTCTTCAGCTGAAGGCTATGAACATCAATTTAAATGTATCAGAAGTATTTACTCTGACAAATCTGTATAACCCTGGTATTTAAGTGCTAAGAGAAAACCTTTTCCTCTAAATTGCTACGTGCTACCTATGTGTTTATTATGATAGTTCATTAAAAAATATTGTTTTAGCTACTTTTTGAGCCAAGTTCCAAATGATCAGAATCCAGTTTAAAATTTTATTATATACAAAAGATGAAGATCCTCCACTATGAAGCCTGGTGTGCAACAAGGTGGCCCCTTCTTCTTGGTTTCACCAGCATTTTCAGGGGTTTTCTAAATGTTTAGTGTACTGAGGACCCCACTGTTAATCACTCCATTATCTGATATAAGAGTCTTAATATGCAGTGACTCAAGACCCATAAAAGAGGTGCTTTCTATCCCTCATTCGAGGCTCCCGTTCCTTCCTCATTGTATATCCAAGGTTTTCCTAAAACATGGGGAAATGCTGGAGTCTGAAGAAAAGGAACTCTCCCCTGGTTTACTGTCTATCCATGCCCTGACAACATGGAGTAGGGCTGGTGGCTTAAGA